GACGGAGAATGCAACCCTATTGTGTTTCATGGTGGGATTTGGACAGTGGGGGCACTGGTCTTGCGGTCTCTCCTAAGGCCATGCTTCAGGCTCTGGTTACAACACCTGCCTCCAGCAACCCCATCCAGAGCTTCCCACTTGTAAAATGAGTTATCATAAGGGACTCGCACATTTCGGTAATGCACTAGGACTTGGACATTTCTACGACATTGTGACATGAGTTTCTGTATGTGTTGATATTTAGTAGCTGGTGACACTCACCTGAGAAGTTTTGTTTTACCTCATCATAGTGTTCTCTGGTTGAGTCACTTCATGCAGTCCACCATGTTTACTGTGTTTGCACATAAATCTTTGATATAGACGTTTGTAATGTCAAAATTACACCTACAGCATGTTATTTTATTTAATGACATTGAATTTAATTTAGATTCTGTGTTAACTATTGGTTTGATGCTCAGATGCCTCAGAATGTCCTTACTATAAATATTAAGTTAATTGGACAGTTGAAGATGATCATAGGTGTATGTTTGTGTGTGTGGTGAAAGGCTGTTTGTCATTCTAGGTGGCCCTTTGATGGACTGTAGATCTGTCCAGGGTGTATCCCACCCTCGCCCAATGGCTGCTCAGATGGGCTCAAGCTCTCCCTTTGACCCTGTGAAGGATTAAGGGAATGACTGAGTGAAAGTTCAACAATTTTTTTCTCAACAATGTTCTCCTAACATGTGGCCTTTCTGCTTGACTTTTCCAGATGTGGATCTGTTGATATGCAAGAACAAGGGTCCATCCTGCTGCACCCGCAAAATGGAAGAGAGCTACCAGTTTGCTGTGAAACGAGAAACCCTCCACAACATTCACTCCTACAGCTATGAGCTGGAGCATGTCATCTCTGGCCATTCGGCTGCCTTTCAGGGTAAGAGCCAGGACAGTGGGGCCAAGCTGGGGATGGAAGGGATTTGCCTGGAACTCTGGCGGGTTGGTGACGGAAGGGGAAGCGATGTCAGGAGTGNATGTCAGGATTGCGTGGTTGATGGGTTGTCTTTTGTACATGCATGGGCTTCCACAAATCCTACCTGCACACAGCTCATCTGAACCTGAATAGCCCCCTTATATAAGGAGCATTGACACCAAAAATAGCCTCTCCTCTTGCTTGCAAAGAATAATTATTTGTACAGTTTTAACTCAGTTCCCCAGCATCACAGTAGCTGATGTGCAGACAAGCATTCAGCTCACCACATTGGGCATCAGAACTCCCCCGTATTTAGTGGGTTTGGCAGCTACAGAACTGCAGAGAGAGATCACTGAGGGTGGACAGGAAAAGAAGGGTATGGTGGCCTTTTGGAGCCTCCAGTGCTTGGAAGAGGGTCTCCTTTGTTATTATCTGCTCCTACTGTCATGACACAGAAAGAGTTACTGGAACACTTGAAGTAATTACAGTAATTTTTACAGAGTGATACAATTTGTGTATAGTAATTGTGTTTTTTGTTTGTTTGGATTTTATTTTTAGTTAAACCTCTCCTTCCTCCATTCCTGTCTTACATTATTCTCTGGTAATTGCAGAACCAATAGAAAATCCAGTGCAGGCAGTTTAAAGTCAGTCAGACTAAATGGATAGCTCACATCCATTTTTGTGAGTCTGATGCTGATACGAAATATGAAAACTATTATTTGGAGAAGATGCTGATACTGTCTGAGACTATAATTTCACCTTTTGTATACAACCACTGGTCGATAGAACAGCTCTACTGATAAACATTTACAAACAGAGCCATACTCAGCTGTTTTAAAAACACAATTTTGCAACTGTGGAACATTTAGCTTCACCGAATAAGGCGTTAAATAAGCCACAGCGTGGCTCGGGTAAACAATTCTGCCGTCACTTTGTATTAAGACTTTGTTGCGAAAACTGTCTTTTCAGCAAACTATATTTGTAGCAGAACATTTGGCCGGTCATCCTTCATCACCTGCCAACTTTACAGCATAAAAAAAGTGGTATAATAAAAAAAATTGGTTAATTTCATGATGACATGATCTTAGGCATTTTTGTGTGTTCAAACTGGACACATGTTGAAGAAATACCTAAAAACTAACAATAGAATCAAACAAACAATCAATGAAGACAGTTCTTCATCATCACCTGCATTGGTTCTTCCACCCAGAGATTTGGAAACAGAGGTGAGGATTATTGTTCCGTTATTACATGTGTTTATCAACCGTATGGTCATGTTTCTTTGAACTGGTTAATATCATAATAACTTCCTTACGAAAACGTGCTGATTACCATTTGAATACTGGTTTCTGTTTCTCTTCTCTTTCAAGATCTTTCTTACCTCAGGTCTCAGCCTGGTTCATAGCCAGAATAGGTTGCGATGGAAAACAAACAGTGAAATAATGAAAGGACCTGTGGTGTGTGATGTCTAAATGATGATGTCACCACAGTTTCTCAGACCATATATGGACTATCTCAACGTGCTGCCTGAAAGCCTTGTCAAATAGCCAATGGTTGTATTCCATTGAACAATGAGAATATGTTTTTGTATTAAACAGCGATGCCAGTACTCACATGCCGAGTGGTGAAAAGGGATTAAGTAATGTGAATATTTTATCATTCCAATTAGTCTAGCGCTCCCTCACAGCTCCAACATATTTACTATTTGTCTATTGTAGAAAAATAATAAAATTACTGAAAATAAAGGATTTTTAGATAAAGGTCTTTAAACGATATTACATAGCAGTCACCAGTTGTCATTTTGTTAGGTAACAGTCACCGATACCAAAGTGTGCGCATGTGTATGTACTGTATGTGATAAAGAGACAGATGGGTTTAATGACCATATTCTCAGATTACTGGGAAGGAATGGTCGAGAAAAAGTTGACACACATTTGATCACTAGCGTAACTGATGTGCAAAGGACCAGGCCATGACATCTGTAAGTAAATCAATTGACTAGAACCTTTAAGACGGATGTTCTAAAGTTCAAAATGTATCAGATTTGAATAACTAAGACAGCAGCGCCCACACTTTTTTTCTCATGGGAGCATTTTTTCAAACCAGGCCATTATGATCTTTGTGCATTGAAAATATTAATTATTTATCAAGTTGTATAAATATGGGATACTGTAATTAAAGGCATGTATCTCTACAGCAATGTAAAATTCAATACCTTTATAGTCACTAGTTTAGTCAGTAATTATCATCTAAAAGTAGAAAAACAGTTAAATATATGAGACATTATATTTTATATGCCTATGAATATGCAACTATGTATGTATATATTATATTTCATGTGTCATTGCATCTTATTATGCACCCCAATCTAAACCATGTTAATAACCGTCTTTTACTCATTGCCAACAGCTTTGACACATTTTTTCAATATGTGTTTGTCATGCGTAGTGGAGCCGTGTTGCATTATATCCAATCAAATTTTGGTACGAGTGCAGAAGCTAATTATCTCCAGCTCATTATTTTTCAAATACCTCAAAGAACAGACGAAAACGTAGCAAAGAAGCATGTTGAGGCCTGGTTTACAAGACACTCCCAAGAAGAAGTGTAAAAAGTACAAATTATCAGCTAAGACACTGTTTACAGGAGGTTTTAGAGTAAGTAGAATACGTAGAGAAATAACTGTTTTTTTCATATATAATTTATTTGTTTTTCAATTAATGCTAGATGTTTTTGTAGTATCCCTATCTGTGCATTTATTTAATGCTGATTTTTATATGATTAAGTATTTCTATGTATTTAATGAAGTTCATATAATATTTTGCTAATGTGACGGTTGTCATGATCAGAAACTTGTACTAGGTTCTACCTCCATGCCCATGAAAATAGATATTTAATGTAAGGACTTGATGTTCTAACTCTGCTGAAGCAGCCTGGTTTACTGACCAACTATTACTCCTTAAACCTCATTTCCCTTTTTTAACTGACCTCCTAGTAAAGACATAATAAGACAGGCCTGTGTCTGCTGTTTATGACCAAACTAACAAAGGAGAAGTGAGTCAGACAGGCTCAGGCTGCATGGTCCATCTTTTCTAGTCTCGCAGGACCCACACAGGTGGTTGAGTTCTACTCACTAATTGTCTCTCTTGCGCATGGGAAATTGCCTCCTCCCTGGGTATGTCAGGGACTTTCTACACCCAACCCCCCACCCTAAGCGCATCACCATGTTTTTTTTTTTTTACCCTTCAAGTTAACAACTGACACTGATGTCTCATGTGATTATTAACCTGGTCAAAGTCCCTTCATTTTGACTACAGATGTTAGGGTTTGGGCAAGAATTGATTAATTAAAAAGTGATGATTTATGCACGTCTATCGTCAGAAGTGGTGTGTCTGCACATGAAGGTGTGTATACAACTGACAGAAGTGATTAAACACTCCTGTTGTGTCCTATCTTTCATCAGACAAATAATTCAGCGATGATGAAATCTCTGTGTGTTTTTCTGGAAGTTCTCACACTCATTTTGCCTGTCCCCTTGTTAGTGATTTCTTTCTCACATAGCTTCTTTTTTTTTCTTTTTTTTTTGCCTCGCTGCATGTATTTTCCTCTGCAGATGTTTTGACCGACAGAGTTATTGCTCTAGAGGCTGGTGCTTGGACACGACGTAACACTGACTGCTCCATGATCTCACTCGCAAATTAGGGAGGATATCCGGAATCTAACCCTAGGCGTCCAATTTAATCACTGAGGGTGGAGGTGAAATATTTACCCACCCTAATATTAGAGCAAAAACATTACATGTGTCTGCATGCTGTCTTTAAGCGTCTTTGCCTTTGACTACACCTTTAGTGTGGACGTGACAGACTCGAGTGGGATGCATTTTCCTCAGAGTTTGCAGGGCTCAGCCTCACGGGGGAATAAAGCAGAAAGAACAAAGGACAGAAGGGAGGAGGGGGGAGACGAGGGAGAGACGAGAGCTCCAAGACTATTGCAGTCATAAAGTCACTCACAGCTTCTCTAACTATTTCTGCTTTTCATCTGAGTGTCTCATCCCTGCATGGATGTGTGAGAATTTAAAGAACTCACGTTGGCTTAGAAAGTGGGGGAAGAAACATGAGGAGGGTCTGGGACTAGTGGCTAAATTTTATTTAAATTATGCACAAGTGTGCTAATGCACTGTTATGTGTGTGAGGCCAAAATATTTCTTAATTACTCTTGAGATTCACACTCCTGTTCTCCTCTGCGTCTCCTGCTTCCTGGGTGTCTCACTCTGTTTGTGGTCCTTGCTTTGTCAGCAGCGGTTGCTTAACAAGAACATGCTGGGTCTCGGCGGGCACCGTGCCAACATCTCGCTCGCTGGCATGTGCGCTGCGATCTCGTGTCTCAAAGATAAACCAGCTGCCAAATGTGTGCTCGATGGAATGGAACCATAAACAGAGAAAAGTCTCGATGACTTTACTCCTCGCCACAAAAAGGCTTTCATTTTTATTCCACATCATTACAAACTCCAAACTCCAGAAATGTTGGTGTTCATCCTAAATATGCAGTATGAACTGAAATCTGCAATCCCTCGAGCGTACAGTTCACTTGAACTATTATTTAACTGACAGTTTTAGTGTCCAGCTGGTTTAATTCTACTTGTTAAAACCGAGGTCGTCTGAGTAACATTTTAGGATGTTCTTTGGTTAGCAGTTCAACAAGAATATTGTTAAAAAAAATTCTCACCGCAAGATATCTTAACAATTTCAGACCTGTCATCCTCTACAGTTCATAGAAAACACAGAAGTCAGGAGAAAACTCTCTGTATGTACACTGAAACTTGTGGTCAGATGAGTAAAGTCCTGTCCATCTAATATTTCACAGTGTCTGGTGCATGATGAAGGGACGAAGGAATAATAAAACTGTGCAATTGCATCATCATTATACCCTTTCAGCTACATCTTTGTAGCTGGAAGGGTGTAATACAT